CTTGCGGGACTGGCCTAGGGGAAAATTTTTAGAGGGGTTTTAAAATAATTTTAATTAGACCAACTATTAATATTTGCCTTTTAATTAAGTTTTAAATTTGTAGTTTGATATTTTGTATTTTTATCTGGTTGTTAGCCGCCCTGAGTCCGTAAGGAGAAGGGCGGGATATAAATATAAATAAATAAATAAATAAATAAATAAATAAATCACATCTTCCAAGTTAATTGGAAGATCTGAACCATGACCCCAAAATAGGGGCGGGGAAAAATGCTTAGAATGTATGTGTAACGGAAAAGAATCCAGATCTAAGCATTTTGCTCGAATTTTGCTCGAATGCCCAATTTCATGGCAACGGGTAAGCTAATAATACATTGGGTACATCCAGAATCCATTAGCACATTTAAGTTCATTTGTACCCCAGATTTAGGGATTATAAGTTGTGCTAACGAACAACAGTAATTACATCCTAATTTATTTTCTGAGTTTTACTGCAGACCATTCTCAGTGGGGCAGATCAGAAGTACAACAACTCTGAAAGAATTTAATAAGACGTCCAAACAATATAGTAAGGGATGCAGGTTAATAATAATAATAATAGTTGGAAGGGATCTTGGAGGTCATCTAGTCCAACCCCCTGCTCAGGCAGGAAACCCTACACCATTTCGGACAAATGGCTGTCCAGTCTCTTCTTAAAAACTTCCAGTGTTGGAGCATTCACTGCCTTCTGGAGGCAGGTGGTTCCACTGGTTAATTGTTCGTAGACAGTCTTGCAGAATTCAGAGAAAAGAGATTCAGGGGACCTTCAAAAAAAGATTATTATTATTATTATTATTATTATTATTATTATTATTTAGCACAGAAACTATATGACGATGTGCATCAGAACTTTGCCAGAAAGGCTGTTTCCAAATGCAAATGCGTCAAAAATGCCACAAAAAGACGTTTTGCGTGATCGTGATGCTCATGTTCTGACTCAGGTAGCAGAAGGTATCCAGGGAAGGAGCATCATGGAAGATACGTATCTGTGAGTTTGGGCCGGTAGTTTTGCAGATCTTCTGCTCCAAAAACCACAAAGAGTTTTAAAGGTTCTTGGAAAGAGATCAGGAGGAAACGTACAGTGTTACCACCTTATTTTGTCATCCTCTTCTAGAACTTTCCAGATAATAGCCCAGCGGTTCTTCTCCGGGCTAAGCGAGCGATAACAGGTTCTCTCCTCTTTCCTGTATCCTTCAGAATTGTCATCTGGCTGGGAGATCTGAACTACAGGCTTTGCCTCCCTGACGCCAACGACGTAAAAAGTCTAATCAGTAAAAACGAGCTCCAGAAACTGCTCACGTTTGACCAGGTGAGAGGGGAAGGTAGGCAGGAATTCCCTGGAAGTTTTGTTTTGTTTTTAAAATTGAAATATCTATCCCCCTCCTCCCGGATACGGTCTCTCCCCTGCGAGACGGGCTTAGGCCTTCTTCATCCGACGATTTAATAATTAGGATTTGTGAACATGGGATGGTTGTGCCGTCTGAAATTCATTTATCTAATGTTGGTCATTGTGGTTCGTGTAAAGGCTTGGATTACATTCATCCAACTCCGGCTTGTATTGGCTGTTTGGAAGTTTAAGCTCCCTTTCATTGTTTCGTGGCCAGCAGCCGTTCCTACATGCCTAGGCCCCACTAGTTTGCGTTTGATGTTCCTGTTAAGACAGTGGTTCTCAACCTTTTTAATGCCGCGACCCCAACCGGTCGTAAGTCGAGGACTAAACCGGTCGTATATCGAGGACTAAACCGGTCATAAGTTGAGGACTAAACCGGTCGTAAGTCGAGGACTACCCAACTGGTCGTAAGTCGAGGACTTTCCCTGCCCGGGAGCACTACGCATGCGCGGTTCCGCCCCCTGCGCCGGCCGAGGCGTAGCTGGCAAGCGGCAGAGACCGAGCAGGCCGACCACCAGCTGGCCCAGCCCAAGGGAGGTAAGGCACCCGCCGGAAAAGGGGGGGAAAATGGCGGACAAAAAAAATGGCAGACAGCCTTGCTTGGCGACCCCCGTGAAATGGTCGATCGACCCCAAATGGGGTCCTGACCCACAGGTTGAGAACCACTGTGTTAAGAGATGTGAGAGAAACAGAAGAAGGCATAATGTGCTTTTTACATTCTGAGCCTTTTTGAGTAAGGATGGTTCACCCTCAAAATCATGTGACAGGCAGCCTAAAGGCTTTCACTAGCCTGTCCCAAATGTCAATACTGGACAGTTCGGGTGTCTATGGAGAGTCTCAGTCATCCAGGTCATGGTGGTCCCAAAGGTGCTTTTTCAAGAGGCAGCTGGATATTCTCTTGCCTTTTTTTCCCCCTTGAAAATGTGTCACTTCCCATCCAAGAAGCTTCTCCAGAACAAAAACAGAAACTTCTCGGATGAGAAGCAAAACGCATTCCAGGAAAACTAAAAAAAAAGTCCTGTTGCCTCTTGGAAAAAGCACCTTTTGGGATAGACCAGGGATAGGCAACCTTGGCTCTTTTATGACTCCGTGGACTTCAACTCCCAGAATTCCTGAGCCAGCCACGCTGAGGGGAGAGGTTTCCAAGCTGAGCCATGCTGGCTCAGGAATTCTGGGAGTGGAAGTCCACAAGTCGTCAAAGAGCCACGGTTGCCTACCCCTCCTCTAAACTAATACAGTCTACATTAATTAACATTAATTATGCTTTCATATGTTCCTCTAGGTCAGGGGTAGGCAACCTTGGCTCTTTTATGACGCGTGGACTTCAACTCCCAGAATCCCTGAGTCAGCCATGCTGAGGGGAAAGGGAGAGGTTTCCAAGCTGAGCCATGCTGGCTCAGCAATTCTGGGAGTGGAAGTCCAGGAGTCATAAAAGAGCCAAGGTGGCCTGCCCCCTGGGATAGACAGTCTGGGTGACGTCGGCTTGACCGGTTGTTGCCTTTTGCTTGCAGCTGAATATTCAGCGTACCCAAAAAGCAGCTTTTGCCGATTTCACAGAAGGCGAAATCAAGTTCATCCCCACGTACAAATACGACTCTAAAACAGATCGCTGGGATTCCAGGTAAGAATCTCCCCCCACCCCCAACACCACGATAGTTAAATCAGCACTTTCCACCCACCCAAATGGACTAGCCTGCCTCAGACTCAACAGTCCTGTACCCAAAAAAAAATGGGAGGATAGATTCCCATACAGAAGGATGGATCTCATGAATTGAAATTTGTTTGGCCCGGAGATCCTGGAGGGGGGTAAAACGTGGTGAGCATCCTGCAGGCTTCCAGAGTATCCCTGATCTCAATCCTATCTCCTTCCAGTGGAAAATGTCGTGTGCCCGCTTGGTGTGACCGGATTCTCTGGCGAGG